CACTCGGTATATTAATAGTTATTCTGCTATTCGTGCCGAAACAAATAGAGATCATTAAGGTGCGTATTCATTATCCGAACGAACGAACGAATGTTCGCTAGTGGTATGGACGGGGACCGTACGATAGAACCGCACGAGAAGACCGGACGCATTTCTTGGCGAACGCTTCAATATGCCGTATTCATAGTCGATCATAGCTGGCGGGAGCTTTCCCGAAATTCTTCGTTCTTATTTCAGAGTCGAGCGCTCTCCGAGTAACGCGTGCGCACATCCGTCATATAGAGTAACCGCTCTCTCGCCGGCGGGCGGTTGGATAAGCATTTTTTTCCGTTTCATAGTCGATCTCCAGGCGAAGAACACTTGCGCAGTTTAAACCCCATCCGGTGATTTTCGGGCGGCGACTGGAGCATGTCCTTACCATCTCCGGGCGGTCCGCCAGTTTAGTCTGGTTTATTTCTCTAGTTGAAAGAAGCACCAAGCAAACTGAATTAATTATGGATATTTATAATATTGTGACGATTAACGAGAACGATGACATTCGTATTTTTGAGGCCATTATTCATTACATTTGAGGCATATGAATTCCGTCCGTCTATTTGACCATTTAAATGTTTTATCGTTTTGTTTTTGTTATGTTTATGATTTTTTATTTTTCCTATTGTTTTTACGTTTATTACATTAATTCTCTTTGTAATTTTTTGTGAAGGATTACGAAGATATTATTCATTACTTTAAAACGACTTATAACAAAATAATGGACACATCAATAAAATATTTAAATTACCCAATATCAATAAAATATTTAAATTATTAATATTTAAATATTTAGAGAATGTTAAAGTTCGTATAACCGATTTTGTGTAGAAAAAGGAAGAAAACATGTTCCCTGTTGTTAAAACCCTCCACCCGAAGTGAATTTTTGTTGGCGACGCGCCGTCATTTTCGCCAGCCAGCGGTGCGCTGGAGGCCGACTATGAAAGAGCTTTTTTTCTCTCCCGATATCGAAGCGCTAGCCGGAGAAATCTTCGGCGAGCGCTTCTTTTCGGCGGGCGGCTGGCGCTCGACTATGAATACGGCCGTTGATGTACCGATGTGGTACCGACTCGAAACGGATGGTCGTGCGAACGAACCGACGAACGGCCGCATGCGTTCGGTCCCCGTCTAAATATACCGCACTTTCATTCGTTCGTTCGTTCGGATAATGAATACGCACCTTTAAAGTCGGTCCATTCGTTCTTGAGTAGGGTTTCGAAACCGGTATCCCGAGATACCGACATCCCGGGATTCCGGTGTATGTTTATCCAAAGTTTATCTCTAAAATCCCGATATTAGATCCCGGAATCCCGAAAAATTTAAATGTCCATGCAATCTAGAATGATTCTACTTTATATACTTTAGTCTTTTTAAGATCATATTTTATTTATACCAACGGGGAATTGTAATTTTTTTTTTTTAACAAAACCCTTTTTCCATTTTCTTTTTGATACGTAGCGGCATTTTTATAAGTATTTCTGTAGATAATATTTCTCATTCTGGGAGTCAATTTCGGGATCCCGGGATTATAGGTTTTTATCCCTGGATTTCAAAACGGGATCCCGAAAATTGGATAAACTATTCTTAAATTATAGATTTTATAGCTAACAAAACTCAATTATTTTATAAAATCTATCTTTTTTTTGTTAATTAGTTTTCACATTAGTTATCCTCTCGGTCATTAAAAATAACTAAAATTAACATTTATTTAGTTTTACGAAATACGAGTACGAAATAATAAGCCTGGTAACAAGGTTCTACATCGACCTTTATATAAAGCCCCAGAAAACATACATGTATTAAAAAGACTGCCACTACCACAAGACGACGCCCCAGAGGTTCTCGTAGGAGAAGTAGAAAAGGCGCTTCAAGATATGAAAAATGGAAAAGCAACAGGGAACGACGGAATAATAGCTGAAATACTTAAGCACGCTGGTAGGAAAACTTGGAAAATCGTAGCAAATATATACACCAGCTGTCTAAGGAGAAAACATATACCACAAGACTGGAGAATACTTCTAACCATAAGAAAGGCAACAAAAAAAACATCAGAAGCTATAGACCAATAAGACTACTACCAGTAACATACAAGATATTTACAAAAATAATAAACAACAGAATAAAAAACACGCTAGACGCGGCACAACCACCAAAATAAGCAGTCTTTAGAAGCGGCATATACATACAATAAGATCATCACATACATACACTAAGAGAAACTATCAGTCTAACATAAGAATACGAAAGCCATAGCCTTTATAGATATTGAGAAGGCTTTCGACTCGATATATATCCTAAGGCCATAATAGAAGCCTTAGCGAAACAAGGTATGGACAGGCCTTATATAGAAACTCTCACCAGTATATACAAAGAAGCCAAAGCAAGAGTAATGATATATAAAACAACCCCAGAGTTCCCAACTGGTAAAGGAGTACGACAGGGGCACGCGATATCCACAAAGCTGTTTACAGCAACATCGGAAGAAATCTTCCGTCAACTGGACTGGACCAATAAAGAATTAACAATAGACTACACCATAATTGGAAATGGTTGAATAAGGTGAAAACGATGATGAGGATGATTTAGTATTCAATCTTTAACTATATATTACTTATTTAAATATTAACTGCATATTTTTTAATTATAAATTAATTATATTATATCCATAAACAAATACTCCATTAAAAATATTATGAATATATAATATATTTTATTTTTTAGTTATCTTCTTTTTATTATTTTATATTAATTTTATTATCCTAATATTGCATTAGCTTATGAGCGAAGGATATAATAAAAATAAATTGAATTATGATAATATAATAATATATCAAAATGTAATTAATTGTTGTTATTAAATTAATTTTACATATATTCAAAGGAATTGGAGCAAGATATTATGTAAAAATAAAAATAAATATCGTTAATTATAATAAATTCCTAAGTACTGGTAAATCCTTATTTGATAAAATAATTTTGTAAAACAATTATTTATTTTTTATATATCTTTTAATTTAATTTTTCTAAGAAAAATTGTAACAAACAACAATTTTCATAATATTATTATACGAATTTATAATATATTTTTTAATTACTATAATTAGGAGTTCTGTTTTATTAATGATTTTTTACCATAATCCTTTAAGAAATCGTATTGAAACTAGAACTATAATTAATACCTATTATATAAGAAAAAACAGTATAATTATAATAACTTTTCCAACATACCGGGTGTTTCTGGAAAGTGGCTCACCCTTATAACTTTTTATTTTTTAAGATAAGAATAAAAAATAAAAATAAGATTTATTTTTCATATCAACATACATAGGTCCGATTCTGCTTTGTTTCGTAGCTACAGGGTGTTAAAATCTTAATATTTTTTCAATTTATTATAATTTTCTTCCAAGTACTAGCGTTTCGACTAAAATTTTGAGGGTAAAAGTTACTATAAATGCGCAACTGACATTTCTTATTTTTATCAAAATTGTGTAGGCCGTTTAATGCCAATTGAAAGTTATCTCTTGATATTTTGTCGAATTCGGCCTCCTTGATGAGATAAACGCAATTTTATTAGTCACAATTAATAAAATTAAAATAAAAATAAAATTAATAAATTATATATTTTTCGTAATTTCTTACTAAATATTATTCTATCAGTTATTATTACTTTTAGTCCAACCTACAGCAGTTTCAAATAAAAAAATAACGGTATTAAGATAATTACAAAAAACCTAATTTAAAAAATTTTTAACATCCTGTAACTCCAAAACTATGCATTTCCATACCCATGTTTATAGGAACTTTTTTTTCATATTTTTTGATGAGGAATCAATGAGTACTTATTTAAAACTTTCGCAAGTTAATGATATTATTTTTTTTAAAGGTGGCTATTAGACTTGGAACAAGGCAAATTAATAAAAATGCTTACTGCTGTATATCTCATCAAAGGGCCGAAATCGACAAAATATCAAGAGACTACTTTTAATCGACATTAAACTGCTTACACAATTTCGCTAACAAGAGAAAAAAAGTCAGTGGCGTACATGTTTTTTTCAGAAAAATATTCCAGTGATCACCCATATGCACGTTCCTGGTAATTATGTCGACACTTTTAAGCTTTAAAATATGTCGCATATATAGTAACTTTTACCCTCATAATTTCATTCGAAACGATAAAAGTACTTAGAAGAAAATTATAATAAATCGAAAGAATGTTAAAATTTTAACACCCTGTAGCTACGAAACAAAGCAGAATCGGACCTATGATGATATGAAAAATAAATCTTATTTTTACGTGAGGAATTTCTCCGCGAGAGATGTTTTTTGAAACACCCTGTATAGTTCGGATAAGACATAAATTAGGATTGACTAAAACGGAAATTACTAAAACCTTTAATTTTCAAATGGTACCTTAGGAATTTTTTTATTTGTGTTTGATAGAAAATAATATTCTGAATAGAATGACATATCATCAACTTTTGACATTTTCAATTAAAAAAATAGTATTTTAAAATTCAATCTAGAATATGCTAATTTTTAATCAAGAAGCCTTGGAAAAATAGATTTAATCGTCTAATGTTTTTCATGTCTGTTCTAGGCAGGTTAAAAGATGCCCAAATCGTATTTTTAATGATAACTCAAATTTTTCATGAGATGGCTCATTAACATATTTGAAATATTACGAGATATCCGTCCTCATCGGCCACTAACCGGCATGAATGAGATAGAGTAAGCCTCAGTGTCAATAGATTTTATACTATTGCCATGAAACAACCATAGCACAGACTTTCGAGATGTTCACCCGTCCATACACCCACATCGTCTAACGTCGCTTGACTTCAGTAATCGATAGGGTACCGGTGTTTCAACGTATATTAACTGGAATATAGTTTGTTATAAATTTGACTACCTAAGATATTGACAATAATATTTATTAACCGTATTTCTGACATGTGTCACAAGTAAATTGAAATATACGTAACTGTTATTTGTTTTACATCAAAATTGTGAATTTCATAAACCAGTTTAAATGCTATATTTAGAGAGTATTAAGTATTTATGTTTTAATAATTTCGATATTAGAATTATTTAGGTGATATAATATTATTAGTAGATATAGCAGTAGGTATCTTCAATCTTTGTCCACCCTAATGATTTAAAATTTGATAAACCTCAAAATATTTAAAAGAAGTTATAATATTAACGTTTAATTACAGGAAACCTCCAATGACAGAAAATGAAAGTTAGTCTTTCCTTGATTGTAACTCTAACAATGGTATTACACATAAGCTCTGAAAGAATATACTCAAGAAAAAGAAGACAAGCGATACAGTCATGTGACAGTTTGGTTTTTTGTCAAGGGAATCTTCTAGATACGATACAAAAAGCTAGAATATATGCAGATTCAAAAACGTTTGTGGATTTAAGTCAAATTAATTCAGAGGAAGTTACTTTAAAAAATTTCGAGAATTTCATGGCCAGCACTAATAATAAACCCTCCAAAAGTAATATTACCAAATTTATAAAAGCTAACTTTAAATCTGAAAGTGAAATGGTAAGTTTGTGTTTTTTATATCTCTGAATAAAGAAAAAATTAGAAAGGACTCAAATACGATTTTCATATTCAATATTCATACATTAAAGACGGAAGATGTTTTCCTTTGAAAAATTTTATTTTTATGTGAACAACTTACTTGTGCAGCTTGCGAACATTACCAGATTCAAATCATGAAAAATAATGAAGCTACTATTTTACTACTTAGGACCGTTTGACACGGGACAATATTCCAGCCTAAATTGTATACAATTTGTTGCGCGGGCATTTTTAGTCAATTGCATGCAATAAAATAGAGCATGTTCTAAATTCTTGCATGCAATTAGCTGAACATGCGCAATACATAATTTCATTTCTCTGATTTTGTAAGGTTATGTTTATGTTACATTTGTTTGTTAAGTTGATTTAACTTACTTACTAATTACAGTCAGTTAAAGCCTCACAATCGAACAGAACATAAACAATTAACTTAACAAACAAATGTAATATAAACATATAATCTTACAAAATCAGAGAAATTAAATTATGTATTGCGCATGTTCAGCTAATTGCATGCAAGAATTTAGAACATGTTCTATTTTATTGCATGCAATTTGACTAAAAATGCGCGCGCAACAAATTTTATACAATTTAGGCTGGAATATTGTCCCGTGTCAAACGGTCCTAATCATGTATTGTGACATACATACATATTTCTTGCATACAATATTTTATAAAATATAACCCAAACTACTTTTCAGTTCTTAAAATTAAGTCCCGTGTCAAACGGTCCTTAGGAATACGAATACTATATTAACTAACTGTGTTTTTATTTTTGAATTTCCGCATTTATTTCTATTTGGACTTTTTTATAATTTGAGATAAATATTTGACTAACGAATGGACTACTACTCAGTTATCAGTTATTTTTACTTCTATCACGAGGATCGACTGCTACTGATTAATAATTACGATAAAAAATAATCTAGACAGCTAAATTTAAAATTAACAAAGATACAAGTTTTTCAATTAAAGTATTTTTAAAATTCAACCAATATATAATCCATTTTTCATATCGGATGTTTCTCAAAAGTGGAATAATATATATATTAGAATCGAAAACTATATATATATAATAGAATCGAAAAAACGGGTTGCATCAGAATCACCGGAAGACATAAGAAAAAGTGCAAATAAAAGGCCCGGGAGACTAAAATTAGGTATAGATGGGTTAACACCTCAAGCAACGGGATAGCAATCTCTATTCTCATTTCCGGGGACACCTAGTGAGGCCGAATGGAGAGTAAAACCAGAAAAAATCGGAAATTCAAGGTGAAAAAGAAGTGAGAAAAAAATATATACCTGAGGCCATAACAATTAAAATATGCGAGGGAATAACGTATGCAGATACTCTGTGTAAGTTGAAAGCAGACGTAGATCCAAAAAGTGCAGGAGCGGAGATTTCTGTTGTGCGGCGCACTAGGTCAGGCGATATATTAGTTGAATTCAAAAAGCGGACTGACACTGAAAATTTAAAAAAAACAGTAGAGACAGCAATGGAAGGCAAAGGATCAGTGAAATCTCTTCAGAAACTATATCCTCTTGAAATAAGAGACTTAGACGGTTCCATTACCGAGGATGATCTTATCGAGGCGGTGAAAAGCACTACGGGTGATAGCTCTCTGAATGTTAGAATTTACAGTCTTGGAGAGGGAATAAGAGGGATGCAAATTGCTGTAATAGGTGTTCCAGCATATGCTACGGATCAACTTTTAAAGAAGTGTAAAATAGAAGTAGGATGGGTTAAATGCCCTATTAGAGAGAAAACAATAGTACAACAATGTTATAAATGCCTCGGCTATGGTCATAAAGCCGTAAACTGTAAAGGTAAGTAAGTAAACTGTAAAAGGTAACTGTAAGAGAAGGACTATGCTGGAATTGTAGTAAAACGGGACACATGAGCAGAAACTGTCAAAATGAATATTTTTGCACAATCTGTTATGAAGTTAAGGAAAAAGACACCGCACACAAATTAGGAAGCTTAAAATGCCCTGCTTATATAGAGGAGCTGAAAAAAAGTAAAAAAGATGATAAAATTTTTGCAAATTAACTTGGGAAGGGGTAGCGAGGCGCAAGATCTTCTAATGCAAACTGCAGCAGAAAAAAGTGCCGATATTATTCTAATAAGCGAACCATACCGCAAACCTGAAACAGAAATATGGTATCAAGACAGATCAAGTAAGGCTGCAATACTGGTAAGAAACAGAAATATCATCGTTAAAAAAGTATGGGAGAAGGAAAACGGATTTGTATGGTTGGAACTAGATAAAATAAAGGTGTATAGTTGCTATTTTTCTTCAAACGAGTCACTGGAAGAATTCGAAGGAAAAATGGAGAAACTTGAAGATAGTCTACGGCGCTCCAATAGGGTACTTATAACGGAGATCTAAATTGTAAGTCTCCAGAATGGGGTTCAAAGAAAATGGATTCTAGAGGAGAGATATTATCAGATATGATTGCTAGAAATAACCTGGTGATTTTTCATGAAGGAAATAAATATACCTTTCAAAATGGAAACGGGGGTTCGGTGATAGACGTAACTTTAGGATCGGAAAGTATCGCAACCGGGCAAATAGATTGGAGAGTACTGGATGAGGTTACCCTTAGCGATCATCGATATATCGAATTTCAGGTCAACGCTACGAATAATATCCAGAAGACCAAAGCACCGGGAAAAGGCTGGGTTGTTAAAAAGTTAGACCAAGAAGAATCTACGGTCCTATCTGGAAGAAGAACGGAATAAAGCAGCGGGTATCAATTTAGATTATACAGTGGAAACGTTGACAAAAGCTTGCGACCACTCTATACCTAGGAGAAAGTCTTGGAGAGGCAATAAAACCTCAGTATATTGGTGGACAACAAACATTGATAACTTACGAAAAGATTGTTTACGATCTAGAAGGAATTGGACAAGAAGCCAGGAAAACACCACACTAGCAGAGGAATACAAAAGTCGGAGAAAGCTTTTAAGAGCAGCTATAAGATATAGTAAAAATCAGTTCTGGAGAGATACTAGAGAAAATGACTAAGAGGATAGGACACGAAAATATACCAGGACTGTTGGACCTAGATTGGGCTTGCCAAATAGTAGAGACACTTTTCCCAAAGGAGCAGCATAAAAAACACGACGGAGAAAAGAAAAAAGTGTGCGGGAACAACACAATGGAACTAACATATTTTACTGTAGTCGAACTAGAACAAGCAAATACAAAACTTTTGGCGAATAAATCACCGGGTCCTGACGGCATACCAAACGAAGTTCTTAAAATAGCCATTGATGTATGGCCGGAGTTACTACTACACACAGTAAATGAATGTCTTCTTTCTGGATATTTCCCAAACAAATGGAAGCAGCAAAATTTGGTCCTTACACACAAGCCCAACAAGCCAATAGAGAATACGTCATCTTATAGACTAATCTGCCTAATAGACACCAGTGCCAAACTCCTGGAAAGATTAATACTACAAAGAATAGAGGTTCATATAGACAGCATAGGAGGATTATTACATCGGCAGTATGGATATCGTAAATGCATATCGACCATCGACGCAATCAATCCAGTAGTCACCATTGCAAGGAGTGTAAAGGAAGAGAATTGGAAAAATAAAGGATATTGTGCATTAGTAACTTTAGATGCCAAAAATGCTTTCAATACTGCAAGATGGGGAGAAATTATACAAGCCTTGGATAGAAAAGATTTCCCAGAATATCTGAAAAATATGGTGAATAGGCTATCTTACAGAGAGAAAATATTCTATCTAACGTGTAAAGGAACAAAAACCTATGATATGACAATGGTTCCCCAAGGATAGGAAACTTAGAGAGGAGCATCTGCGCCGAAGTAATGCGTGAGCAGTTCCAGCGCAGTTTGTCAACCAAATGTGGAATTTTTTTAGTCGGTAGAAATCCGGCACACCTTGGTCGCAGGTGTGCAACAACAGACCGGGCGTCTAAGAAGATTTTTTTACCATCCCCAGAAAAAAAAGATGTCTCTGGATCAGTATAAATTCCCCCTCCTTAGTACACGCTCATCTCTAGATGTACCCGGTGAATGAAGGTATATGCAAAGCTGGCCTCTGGCACACTGAGAAGTCTGGTTGAGAAAGCAGTCTACAGTTTTCTCGCCCGATATCTGCTTTGGGTTGTAACAGCAAACGAGGATCTCGATTCCCATAAATTTAAACAGGACTTCAATCATGTTCCGGATTGTACGCCAACTCAAAACGCTGACGGGAGCTTCGAATGGCTAACCGAGTAATGTTGTTGTCTAACAGGGCTTTTAACAGTTCAATCAGGATCTTTCATAGATTGAGATACCTCGGCTTACTCAGTAACCATTCCTTGGTGACCAGGTAGAAGATGTGTCTTGCTTCACCATGCACATTATGGGTTAGCCTCAACACGCTTCCAATTTCTGGATCCGCTCGGCATAGTTCTCCGACACTCCCAAACTTTTCTTTGAACGTCGCTACTAATCCTCTGGACATTCACAAATCTCGGGCCATACAGTGAGTGAGCGAATACCTAATCAGGATACGGAAAAGAGGTCTCGTTGTTCTTCTTTGGTCACACCATAGCGAGCCTTCTCACTGTTATTATGTCGGGCCATAAAGTCGTCAAAAGACATCTCCGAATCATGGAGATCAAAGCTACAGGTATTCACAGTCCCAGCACGATCTTCTAAATCGCCTTGGTAGGGGCACAAACAATTGAAATGGAGATTATCTTCGGTTTCCCTTTCGGCAATTTTCTGATTGGGTATACGACGTCATTAATCCTATCCCTGACTTTGTATGGCCCTTTCCACGAGGATTGTAGCTTCGGCTTGAATGTCGTAGTGCTCCTCTATCCGATCACTAGCGCTTTGAATATTTAGGCAGACTCGCTGAAGAATGTCTTCTATTTGTTGACATAGTCTATGGACATAATCTTCTCCAGCAAAATATCTTCTCCCGGTCGGCAACCAAATTCAAGCAAAAAAACAGATCACAAGGATCACATAACGATGCTGGCTGGAGTTTGCCCTGTGAATTCTTGGATGGATGAACGGTAGGCCAACAGAAACAGGTTGAAGAAATTTGTCCCAGTCTGTTTGATATCAGTGATTACTTTGGCCAGGTAACGGTTGACAGTTCTGTTCATGCGTTCAACCATACTATCGGATTGTGGATGTAGGGCAGTCGTCCTAGTTATTAGACTCGAAGTTTCTTCCCTGATCTGAATGAAGCTCCATGAATTTCCGTACAATCCTTTCTCTCGTCTCTGCATAAGTGCTAATCTAGAAGGTCATATTAGAGCGGGGATGGTTTTAGAACAATATGGTCGCGTTAAAAACCTACAATTGAGGCAACAGCGCTAGGAAATACGTTTACATTCTCTCACTGTCAACTTCCCTGCTGACTTCCCTGCTCAGTTCAGCTGACTGTAAGTGTGGCTTAAAATTGTAATACATAAACTTTGGATTTTTCAGGAAGACTGGACACCACCAGATTATAAGCCAAATCCGCCCTTTCTAAAAAGTATTTACCACAGTGCAATGTACTTTTTCGCGAAGGATGTAGTGTCACTCTGGCCGAAGCTAGGACGAAGAATAAAAAAATCGGTAAAAGACGATCCGTCCAGGTACTCTCTGATTCCCGTGCCAGAAGGTTTCATCATTCCAGGGGGAAGATTTCGAGAAATTTATTACTGGGATTCATATTGGATTATTAAAGGTAACAGTAAAAAATGTAAAGGGGTAACAGTTAAAAATATTGTTCAATTTCGCTATCTGATATACGGGATGGCGCCTCTCATACGACGCGGACGTTTCAAGGGAACGGTAGTTTATATCGAAATGAAATTTTGGGAGCATATGTAGGTTAATTGAAAACATTTTATAAAAATATATAGAGTTGTACGGGTGTCCCCAAAAAAAGTTACGCATCAACGTTGGGTTTTGTGTAATAGAACACCCTATATATTAATTGATTTCCGGAATATAATTAAAGAAACATATGCCTAAAATGTTATGTTTATGACATATTTCACATTTTGTGTGAAGAATAAATTTTAACTTTCCCTGACTCGTTGGGACCTGGACCTGAGTATTCACAAAGCTTCCCTCGTAACATCGATGCTTCCTTGTAAATTTACTAGTAATAACGACATTGAAAAAAATACTCCTATGTCAATATAAAGTGTTACAGCATAAAAATATAAATCCATAATAATATTACTTAAAAAATGTTCTACTATGACAATATTTCTAGGTTTAATAATCAGCGATATGCACGACACAGCAAAGGGAATGTTGGACAATTTTATCCATTTAATAAAAACACATGGAATGATTCCTAACGGTTCGAGAGTGTACTACCTCAATAGATCTCAACCTCCTTTGTTCACTATGATGGTAGATTTGTATATTTCGAGTCGGCCTGATACCAAATGGCTAATAGCGAACGTGGAGCATCTCGATACAGAGTTAATGTTTTGGATCAATGAAAGAACAATACCTGTTACTAAAGATGGTGTAGAGTATAAATTAGCTCATTACGGACCTCAAAGTAATACTCCTAGACCAGAGTCATATAACGAAGATTTGATTACTTGTGCCACCTTTCCGTCTGATGATGAAAAAGTAAGTTTTTTATCACGTATTTCTTGAGGCAACATTTTTTGATTTTCACTCCAATCTTTTTAAAAATATGCGGGCAGTTTTTTGGGTTTGGATTTTTAAAATCAAGATTTTTTTAATAAATTGGGTTAAATATTAGCCTTTTGAGTTAAAAATGGCGCCCTAAACAGCATATTCTACATTACTTTTTTTGGACCCCTCTAAAATAAATTCCTGTATCCGCCCCTGTAAGCAGGGTAATGCAAAAGAAGATGTACAGGGTGACCCATTTTAGTTGAAATCATACAGTATCTCCGCTATTCGTGAAGATAGAAGGGCGCGGTTTGCACAAACCTGTGCCACTTGTTTTGTCAAACGGAAGATGCCGCAAACAACATTTTCATAGCCCTCTTCATTTCTGAGCTACAGGCTACTGAAAATTTTGTTATTTGGGACACCCCTTTTATCTCTGTTATTGTTAGAGGTATCGAGACGGTGAAAACTGTTTATTGTAGAACTTTTTACGTAGAACACAGTGGCAAAGTCTGTTATTCTACGAAAAGATTATTTTTTAAGATATGAACTAAAGTTATATTTTCTTAAATGGAACACCCTGTATATTTATAAATTATATGATCTGGCCTGCCATAAGCTTCTCAAAACTATATATCACTCTATATTTATTTTCACTATTTACTGCAATATTTAGAAAAATATATTAAAAGATCATATTTATTAGTAGGCCATGATTGATAAAAGAAAGTAAAGAATTATTAAAAGTATATACTGCTATCTGTCTCTTCTTTTATTTTCAGAGCCACTAATAAATTCTTTATATATTAGGAAAACTTAACTCTCTACCGCTATTTGTAAATCTTAGAAGAACTTTTAAATATTCTTTTAGCTAATTTACGTAAAATATACTTTCAGCAAGATAGGGCTCCTCCTCACAACTTAACTTACAACGAAAATATTAATTTTGTTAAATTATTATTTCTCAAATCAATGAATTGGAACCAACGGACCCATATGATGGCCTCTCTGATTCCCGGATTTATCCGTTCTCAATTTCCAATTTTGGGGATTTTTGAAATATGAAATATATCGTGGCAACTAATACAATCTTCCCCTAGAAGATGCAAGACCTTGGCGTTGGTGGGAAAGCTCCTTGTCAGGTGCTGGAGGGAATCCCCCTAGCACCTGGCTTGGTCTAAGAAGCATCTCACTCATCGTCTTGTCCCTAGCTGTAGTGTCGTGGCCAGGAAATTGCACCAAGACATATAACGATGCCGGACGGGGCTACCCCTGTCCGTCATACCAGGCACCCTCTACTGACTGTGGTCAAGTCTCGCGGGTAGAGGGTGTGGGGGGGTTTTGGCTTAACCGCCCGGGAAACAACCAAGAGGAGACAACCTCACCAAAAACCTAAATCCTACGATGGCGGGACCAGATCAAAGGGATGCGTGGCTAAATAGAGGACTAGCCTTTACTGGTCTCAACGTTGGGGCATCAGGGGGCACCCCATTGTATTTACCCCTTACTTCTACATGCGGGGCTCTGTAGAAGTGGACCGACTATCCCTAGCGACTCGTGGGAACACTATGAGATCGGACAATCATAATAACACCACCGGTGAAGCTGTGGGGAAACCCCCTAGTAACACTGGGAACATTATGAATGAAAGTTCCAAGGGACCAACCCCAAAGGGAACTACAGGAGAGGCGGCCGACACCTGCGCGAGGCTAGCCTCCACAAGTGGTACACAAGCTATCACCTCCTTTAGTAAGGGTCGGGAGTCTACCTCTAGACACAACAAGCGACACAAGCTACCGTTTAGTTTGGTTCGATAGAAACATGATGCATGGGATATCCCAGATAAACTTGCACCATGCAAAAGGGTCTTCTACCACAATCACAAGACTCTTTGAGAAAAACCAACATGCAATGGTACTAGCCCAGGAACCCTGGGTATATCAGGGACAAATTAAGGGGTTGTCTGGAAAAAATTCCAGTGTAATATATGATAACAAGCAGGAATTTCCCCGAGCTTGTATTCTTATAAGAAACAACATTAACTACACATGTGTTTCAGAATTTACAACCCGAGATCTTGTTCCAATCATGGTTCAACTAAATATCGAGGATTGTAGCAAAAATATCGTGATTGCCTCTGCATACTTTCCGGGTGATGGGCAGACACCGCCTCCGGAAGTAGTGGAGCTCGCGCGATTCTGCAGCCAACGGCGACTACCTCTGCTATTGACAAGCTATTGACAAAAACGCGGGCGGAAATATTAGATTTAACAATCAGGAGTGCTAGTGTAACTAGTTACGTGAAAGATTGGAGGGTATCAACGGAACCTTCCCTATCAGATCACAGAATCATCGAGTTCAAATTAGGAGGAATCATATTCCAAACGGAAACTCGAAGGAATCCAAGAAGAACCGATTGGGAACTATACCATACCAATCTCGTAGAGAACCTGGACCAAATAGATGCAGGTAGGGCTAGGAACCACCTGTATCTAGAATGGTACGCAAGGGAAGTCAGTGGTGCAATATTGGATGCATATGAATCTAGTTGCTCCACAAGTAAGGGCATACAAAAAAGTAACAACAAGCCCTGGTGGAACAAGAAGCTGGCCAATCTTAGGTCGGAGGTCCGACGACTCTTCAACAGAGCCAAACACAGCGGCGAATGGCAGCTCTACACCGAGAAATTAACTGAGTATAATAAAGAGATTAGAAGGGCAAAACGGTCTGACTTCAGATCCTTTTGCGAAAACATCACTTCAACTACTTATGCAGCTAGACTACACAAAGCTATGGCCAAGAGTGGGCCCATCCCCAACATGGCACTTAAGAAACCTGACGGAAGCTACACGGAAGGAGATGAAAAGAGAGCCAACCTCCTACTTCATACACACTTTCCAGGTAGCATATCTATTAATACGCAAGTAGCCCCGACCGAACCCCACAATCCTCGCAGAGACTGGGAGACGGCCAAGCTAGTAATAACAGAACAAAAACTGAAATGGGCTACTGACACCTTTCAGCCTTATAAAACAGCAGGAATAGATGGGATTTTTCCTGCCCTTCTAAAGAAGGGTGAGCAAATAGCTACACACCATCTATTAAACATTACAAGAAGCAGCTTAGCGATGGGATATATACCAACCATCTGGAGAAGAGCGAAAGTAATCTTCATACCCAAAATAGGCAAAACTGACTGGGCTAACTCGTTCATATTAAAAACGATGGAGAAAGTAGTGGACAACCATATTAGAGTAAATCATCTAAATGTTAAACCACTGCACGATAGTCAGCATGCATATAGAGCGGGCAGATCCACAGGAACTGCTCTGTACCAGTTAACTGAGCTAATACAGGCAAGCCTGGATAGCAAAGAAACAGCACTTTGTACCTTCTTGGACATTGCAGGGGCGTTTGACAATATACCTCACAAGGTGGTCAAGCGATCTCTTGAAACAAGAGGGGTGAACAATACTATAATCCGCTGGTTTTGGGAAATGCTCTCAACACGAACAGCAGAAGCTGAGATAGGTACCAAAACTGTGGTTGTTAAAACAACGCAAGGAACTCCACAAGGTGGAGTGACCTCCCCCCTACTGTGGAGCTTGGTTGTGGATGAACTACTGGAAGAATTAACTCTAGCGGGAATACACTGCATAGTGTATGCAGATAACATAGTCATGATTGCACGGGGGAAACATGAAGGCACCCTGTGTGATATTATCCAAAGAGGACTCCGCATCACTGAGAGATGGTGCAGGACCGTCGGGCTGAGTATCAACTCAGATAAAACCGCGGTAGAGCCATTCACCAGAAAGCTAAGTTTAAAAAACTTGAAAAGAATCCATCTAGATGGAAAGGAAATACTGCCATCACAGGAAGTGAAATATCTAGGAATAACACTGGATAGTAAACTTCTCTGGAACTGGCATATTAAGAACATTACCAGCAAAGCAACAAAGGCTCTCATGATATGCAGAAGACTGGGGAGAAATAGGTGGGGCTGCGCCCCAAAAATTTTGCGCTGGATGTATACCATGATAGTAAGACCCATGATTACTTATGGAGCAGTTGCTTGGTATACAAAACTAGAGCAACGTACAGCAAGGCAAAACCTGTGCAAAGTACAGAGACTGGCATGTATCTGTATCACAGGTGCAATGAGAACATGTCCAACAGCAGCAATGGAGGTCATTTTAGACCTAACACCACTGCACATTGTCGTCGGTAGTTATGCCAAGGCGACAATGATTAGAATGGTCATAGACCGAAACAGTACTGGGAGAATTTTTAGGTCAGGAGCTTGGAACACCCTCAAAAAGAAAATTCCACTTCTCCAACTCCCAGTGGATGACATGCCAAGAATTTACAACTTTGAGAAACACCTCACTGTAGTATTGAGTAATAAAAAGGATTGGAAGGAAGAAACGCTTACTCAGCATATAAAAGACCATACCATAACGTGGTATACTGATGCTTCCAAAACCAAAGCAGGGACAGGGATAGGAGTATTTGGGCCGAAAACCAAATACTCCGAACCAATGGGCACCTACCCCAGTATCCTTCGGGCAGAAATTTACGCTATCGAAAGATGTGTACAATTTATCTTAGATAGGAACTATCGAAAACATGAAATTGCCATCCTATCCGATAGTCATGCAGCACTAAACGCGCTCAACTCAGTAACCATCAATTCGAAGTTGGTCAAAGAATGCCTAGAGAAGCTCAACAAGTTTGGCAAAGAAAATAAAGTCCTCCTACTCTGGGTGCCTGCTCACCAAGGGATAGAAGGCAATGAAAAAGCAAATGATCTAGCTAGGAAAGGAGCGAACACTCCACTAACTGGACCAGAACCGTTCTGTTTTCCAAGCGGAAACCAGCTGAAAGCGGAACTGAAGAATCTGGAAGACTCCAACCGCAACTTGGAATGGGTGTCCTCCAACGATCTAAGACACTCGAAAAAGTTCCTCAGAACCTACGACCGAGAAAAA